CGCCTCCTCGCTATCTCTCGCCTTCCTGAAAAATAAAGAGATCCAGCTTTCAAGCAGTTGTCCGTATCCTTGCGCTGGAGCTCTCCCAGCGGGAAATTCGAATCCTTGGAAGAAAGGCATTTTGACAGCCTTTCAAAAGGATTTAACAGAATAACAAGAGTTGAAAGGGACTTTGGAGATCTTCTATTTTAATCTTCCCCTCTTCAAGCAGGAGACCCTATACCATTTTAGATAAGTGGTTGTCCAGTCTCATCTTAAAAACCTCCAAACATGAAGCACCCACAACTTCTGAAGGCCACAACATAGATCAAAGAGGCCATCTATGTTAAAATTGAAGAACCTTCTGTCAACAAGAGGGGGAGGGATATGACACCACCTATTTGCTTTCTACAACACAATCCTTTTCAGGAGTCCCCAGAAGGTTCCACACCATTTTTCTCTCTGATTCAGGTGACTCTGAGGAGACACATAAACCCCCAAGTGGCTTCAACGACTCTCAGAGAGCTAACACTGACCCTCAGCAAAGTGCTAATGTCCAGATGACTGTAAAGAATATAAATCCTTCCATTCCCCACCATTTAGTCAGAACTTCTTGGATGAGAAATGAAACATTTTCAAGTCCAGTTGCCTTTTGGAAAAGCACCTTTGGGATATTTTCTTGCTTATTTTGACATGCATTCCTAATCTGCATTTTATGCTACTTTTGATAGGTTGGATTGGATTTTTTTTCTTTTTGTGTAAAAGAGGCAAAAAAAGAGTTAATTAGTTCAACTTTCATCCTGCTACTCATTACCTTCTTGCCATTTTGCCCATGAATGATTTCCAGTTTAACACATTAGTACCTTGAAGAGAGAATGACATATAGTGGCTAAGGCTCTAATTCTATATGCTCCAGCATATAGAACTAGAATTAGAAGAACTTTATTGAAACTGTGGATGTACCCCAGCAACTGTTCGCAATACAATAAAACCAAAGCACTTAAAAATGAAGATAAGAAAGATAGACTACCCACGTCTCCATTTGCAATTTGAGAGTACAATATCTATGAATATACACAAAATATACATCCAACACTGACTGTAATGCTTAGCCGAGTATAATACACAAGAGATGGATTGTACTGTAATATGTTATTATACATCTGAATGGGGGTATTGAGATTTCACATCTTTTCACATCTTAATGAGGTAGTGACTTCTTGTTTATTTGCAGTTCGGATGGCCCAGGGAAAGAAACTATTTGTTAGTCTAGTGGTGTGGGATTTTATTGACCTAAAACGCCATCCAGACGGCAGCAGATCAAAAAGATAATTGCCAGGGTGTGAGGGGTCTTCTATGATGGCCTTGATTCTGCTTTGGCAGCGGGACCTGGCTAAGTCTTCCAGGGAGGGCAGAGGGCAACCAATGATCTTTTGAGCTGTGTTCATCACCCTCTGTACAGTTTTCCTGTCTTCAACTGTGAAGCCTGCATACCACACACCCAAACAACATGTCAGAGTGCTCTCCACAGAGGCTTTATAGAAAGACAGCAACAGCTTCTTATCCAGATTGTTCTTCCTGAGAACCCGCAGGAAGTGCAGCTGCTGCTGAGCCTTCTTCACTGAGCCTTGGTGTTAGGGGACCAGGAGATATCAGCTGAAATATGGATGCCAAGGAATCTGATCATAGGGATATAGGTTAAGGCACCAGGATAAAACTGGGAGACTGTAAGTTCTAATCTTGCCTTAGGCACAAAGCCATCTGGGTGACCTTGGTTTACTCCCTCTCAGCCCTAGAAAGGAGGCAATGGCACTTCTGAAATCTTTCTAAGACAAGGGTCTTCAAACTTGGCAAGCTTAAGACTTGTGGACTTCAACTCCCAGAATTCCTGAGCTAACATGACTAGAGGAGGAATTTTGGGAGCTGAAGTCCGCAAGTCTTAAAGCTGTCAAGTTTGAAGACCCCTCTTCTAAGACAACTGCAGGGATTGTTCCAGACAATCACCAAAAGTCAACATTGACCCTCTTCCCCCAATTAAGATGAATAGAATAAAATTGCCAGAAAAATTATTGGGATGGGCTGAGGTAATGGATTGAAGACAGTTCCATAGGTAGTTTCTTGTAGGACTTTAAAGGCCATAACCTTGTAGGGCTTTAAAGGTCATAACCAACACCCCGAATTGGACCAGAAATAAATAGGTATCCAACAGCTCACTCATCAAAGGTGTTAATTTCTTTGTGCCAGTTTATTTGACTTTGTGCCAATTTATTTAACTATGTGCATATAATAACTGATATTGTATACTGATCTTGTAGTTTCTTATGCACTGTCAATAACTAGGAGGTAACTATGTAAACAGGAAGATGCTATGTAAACAGGAAGAATGTTCTTGGGAGATTAGTTAATTTATCTATTTAGAGACTGAATAACCAGAGAGGGAGACAGTATAAGGCCACTGTGGATGACATGCATGTGTAAAATCCAACCTGACAGTAAAAAGCTAAAGAGAATCTGAGGCCATTTCATAGAATGAAAAAGGAAACATTATCCTCCACACATTTTGAAGATTAAGATGATTCTAAAAGTGCTCTTTGGGATACTGTTGCAGATATGGGGCATTTCAGGATCATTTTGGAAGTAGGATGCAGTAAGGGTTTCATCCAATGTTATTAATAGATTTCTGCTTACATTTGGGGATGTTTTCATGTTCATCTCCCCAGTACAGGAACTCCTTGCATCATCTCCAGAGCCTATTCCAGGGTATTTTTTAACAACCACATTGGTAACTGGACAAATACTGGTACTAGTGTTTTAGACTTTTAATAGAATAGAATAGAATAGAATAGAATAGAATAGAATAGAATAGAATAGAATAGAATAGAATAGAATTCTTTATTGGCCAAGTGAGATTGGTCACACAAGGAATTTGTCTTAGTGCATAACAGAGCTGACTTCAATAAGCTAAGAGAGGGACAAGGAACAATTCCATAGATGGATATCCAAAAAGAAAAACAGTTCAAGACGCTTGGGAAACCTTGGAAAATGAGATAATGAAGGCCCAAGCAAAAACAATACCATGGAGAAATACAAACAAAAGTAACCAGACAAGACTGGTTACATAAAGAGGGACCAATTGAGGGATAAAAAGGTCAAATATAAAAAAATATCCAGTGTTGGAGCATTCACAACTTCTTGAGGCAAATTGTTCCACTGTTCAATTGTTCTAACTGTCAGGAAATTTCTCCTTAGTTCTAAGTTGCTTCTCTCCTTGATTAGTTTCTACCCATTGCTTCTTGTCCTGCCCTCAGGTGCTTTGGAGAATAGATTGGATGCCCTCTTCTTTGTGGCAGCCCCTGACGTATTGGAAGACTGCTATCATGTCTCCCCCAGTCCTTCTTTTCATTAGACTAGACACACCCATTTCCAGCAACCGTTCTTTGTATGTTTTAGCCTCCAGTCCAGAGGTGGTATTCAGCAGGTTCTGACCAGTTCTGGAGAACCGGTAGCGGAAATTTTGAGTAGTTCGGAGAACCAGCAAATATCACCTCTGACTGGAGATTTTACAGTATCCTCTCCCTGCCAGGCCTACCAAGCCACGCCCACAGAACCGTTAGTAAAGAAATTTGAATCCCACCATTGCTCCAGTCCCCAAGCATTTTTGTTGCTCTTCTCTGCACTCTTTCTAGAGCAGAGGTCTCCAAACTTGGCAATTTTAAGGCTTGTGGACTTCAACTCCACAAATCTTAAAGTTGCCAAGTTTAGAGACCCCTGTTCTAGAGAATTAACATCTTTTTTACCTCATGGCGACCAAAACTGGATGCAGTATTCCAAGTGTGGCCTTACCAAGGCACTATAAAGTGGTATTAACACTCCATGTGATCATTAACACACCTCCCGGGTTGTGGATACTCCATCACTGGAGGTTTCAAAAGTAGACTGGGTAATCATTTGGCTGGGATGGTATAAGACTTTTGCCTTGAGCAGAGGGTTAGACTACAAGTCCTTTCAACCCTATTATGATTCTATGAGATGGAAGAATCCATTGCCATCTGGTGAGAGTCAGAATTAAACTGAGCTCTCTGAATATAATGACAAAAATGAACCATGGCTAGGCAAAGCATGAATGATATTAATACTTGTGATAATAAGAATCTTTCAAGGAAGGAAGTTTACAGTGGCTTTCAGTAAAATAAATCCAGGGAGCAAAATTATGTTTGAACATTTTTGTGCGGAAGGAGACTTTGTGTTAGCTATCTTCTAGTGCTTTTGCTATGACTTCCAGGGATTTTTGCCTCCAGATCTTTATCATTTGATGATATGATATGATCTCTCTATATGAAATATATTTTATATTTAACATCCTTTTCCTGATATGCTCAAGAATGTAACACTACAAATTAAGTCTTGCTCTGATAACAAGAGAGGTGAACTACATTAGGAATTCATTGCCTTCTTTGTTTTCTAATACACAACATATTGTTTACATATATTGTTTTTCGCTTTGTTGTAAACTTCCTTATCTGTGAGATGAGCAACTATATAAATATTGCTAAATAAATAGCAGACAGGTGGCAGGACAAGGATAGGGCAGAATGCAATTGGGGCACCGTCTTGTTCAAGTCTAGGTTGACTTGAGGAAGGAGAAAGGAAAGCATCTAAAGCAGAGGTGTCAAACTCGATTTCATTGAGGGCCGCATCAGGATTATGTTTGACTTCAGGGGGTTGGGGTGGGTGTGGCCAAGGTGGGCATGGCCAACATGATGTCACTTGTGTTGGGGGGTGCCTGTGGTGGAGATGAGAAATGAGTGGTGGGGCCCTGTTCTTATTTCCTTTTGAGGTTGAATTTCTGGTTTTCTTGTCTTTTGTGAGTGAGTTTTTTTCCAGAAGAAGTCCATGGATAGCCCATGAGATGGAAGAGAGCAATTGCTGAGCTAAGTTCAAACAGTGAGACTGAAGTCTTACTATCTTACTTGCATGGAAAACAAATAATTAATGGGTGGATATCCTTCCTTATATTTTAGGCTTTTTGATTTGGATCCAGACCTCTTGCCCCTTTTCAAGTACAATTGCAAGAAGTTCTCTACTCCTCAAGAGTGCCTCTCATCACCTGAGTTCCTGGAACACATTAGAAAGGTGAGGGTTTATAAAATAATTGTCCCAACTGGTAAAGTTTATGTTATCAGGCATACAGCTAGTATAAAGGTGGATCGGATCAATGTAATGATTATTTATAGTGGATCAGCATAAATTCATAACTCCAAATTGTAGAACGCATAAGCATGACATCTGTAGATTTTTGCCATCCATTTAGCTTCTCATTTTCTAAAAAAAAATGGGTGTTTTAAACATATGACATTGTGACAAATAAGTATTTCAATGTAAATCTTTTTATCATGCCCATGGTGGCTTATGAAGACATTTCACCTAATTCTTTGTAAACTATAACAATTTATTGAAGTTATTTATTTAAATAATTTATATGGCTGCCTATATTACAGCATTAAACCCAAACATTATGACCTGTGATCTTCAAGATAAACAATATACAGTATCCCATTTATAAAACCACATCTGCAGCAGAGATTGCCTAACTTCCTAACTGGGGCAAGAATCACGTCTTCAAACTATTATGAAAGTCTAACAGGATTAGGGACACCCAGATGTTCAAAGGATGCTGTTCCATAAGGCAGGTCTGCCGGACAGAATACACAACTCCTGGGTTAAACAAGATAACATTGTTTTTGGAAGAGAGCCAGAGGATGTCCACCCTGCTAGAACAGGCAGGTGAGCAGAAATAATGGGAAAAAGGCAGTAACCTGGCCGTATACCAAGCATGGCTTTGTGGATGAGTTGCATCTGAAAGTCTGGTGGGAGTTAGGACAACTCATGGAACAGCTATGTAACATGGAGGTATTACTTGGTTGGCTTAGGATGGAGATGTACAACTGGGTACCACCAGCATGCTGCTCATACTACAAATTATGATGACAGATGGTCTTGCCTAGTGGCTTCCTGTAAATGTTAAAGAGGAATGGCATGAAGGTGCAGTCTAGAGGCAGCCCACAAACAGAAGCCTCAGGCTCAATTTTCCCTGCTCCAATGCCAACTGGAATTGGCCTTGAAGAAAGGAGGAGAATCACTGTTACACAGTGCCTGCTACTCCCATTTCCTTGAGCCAGAATGATATCATGATGGAAGATCAACCTCCATGCACTTGCCTCTTTCCCTCCCATTTTTCAAAGTGTTAGGCACCTGGAGCCTTTCCTCTTGGCCTGACTGCATAAGTGGGCAGACTCTACCTAGAGAAGATGGTCCCGAAGGGAACTATTACCGCTGCATCCATGTTGGTCTTTTCCTTTTGAAACTGCCTACAAAGTACTCTGATCAAAGTATTGCCTCATGGATACATAGGAAAAACCCTTCTCTTTTTTGTTTAGTTTTTGTTTTGAGAAAGAAAGAAAGAAAGAAAGAAAGAAAGAAAGAAAGAAAGAAAGA